ACTAATTAATTTTTAATTATAAAATTAAGTGTTCGATTAAAATTTTGCTAATAACCTAGAACCTACAAATAAAGGTACACACTGCAAAACCTACTTTGCGATAGCGTTTGGTTAAAATATTAACTTTTAGGATGTATTATGGTGTTTAGAAGGACACTTTTCCGTTAACCAAACACACCTTATTTTAAAGGTTATTTAGGTTAGTATACCTATATTTATATAAAATTGTATACTGTATATTGTAACTAAGCCCAAAATTACCAATATATAAACGACCTTACATAACATAACTTAGTGTATTTGGTATAACAGAAAATTACCTCTAAAAGCTATGTCATTATGTTATAGCACAATGCTAGGTATGTATTTTAGTATGAATACGAGCAAAACGAGTAAAAGATGAGTGTAGAATGGAGTGAGATGCATTTATTGACAAGGATCAGCTTTTGCTTTGGAAATACCATTATTGAAGCCCTAAAAGTCAAGGGCAGCAGGGTCCAGTTGAAAACCAAAAGCAATTGACTCTTCACAGAACCGGTTACTTAGTATAATTACTTGGCGAGCACTATAGCTACTCACCATCCCAACTAATTAACTCGTAGTTAATTTAGGATTTGTTAGAAAAATAGTAACTGAACAAATCGGAGACAAATGGCTAAAGTTTCCTTTTTTGCTTGCAGGAATAATCTGGAGTTACCTCGCACATTTTAAAAGATTATTCCCCAAATTGTCGGCAATCAATCGGTTTTCTGTCTGCTTTGCTCCAGAGCATCATTTTGATACATAATGTACGTATGCGCTATATTTAGCCAACAAAGACTCAGACCTAGTTCAAGGTTATAACATTCCAACCTTCACCTTTTCTCGCTCCGCCCCCTGAACTACAGTCTGGATTATTAAGTTCTCCTTATGTGGAAAGTTGGGGGTCTTTAGCAGCAGATCCTTCGGCATTTTTTATACATAATTTATTTGTCTATACAATTATTTTTTACATCTTAGAAGGATTCAAGATTGTGAGCTAGGAGCAACTGTTATGGCCCATCAACTAAGTCAGCAAATACAAATATGGTAGAAAATAGAATTTTAGACACTAGCACATTTTGTGAGCTCACATAACTATGTTTTTTTATCAAAAGATTGGCGACAGCTGATCCATATAGATGGGATGTCTACTTCAGCATCCCAATGGTAGTAGATTATTTCATTGACTTTGAATACTGCGTGTAGACGTCTCATCTTATTATAAATCTAAAGCTTTATTTGATTTTGTGTGTTTTATGTGTGGCTATGTACGTTTTAATGTGGCGATATGCACTTGCAATTTTTCTATTTTTAGAATTGATTTTACGGTGTGTGCGTTGACATTTTGTAGTAATACCACAATACAACAAACATATTGTAAATCAACCAGTATTGCTAATGTGTTAGATTTTATAATAACTTTTTCCCTTTGTAGAATCATCAGTTTTTATATCAATTTCATGTTGGATTGAAGTTGTGATGTATGTCTTGCATATCATGAAAAACCCATAACGGTTACATTCCATTAAGGATTGGTGAAACCTTTTATACCCTTTACATTATCATCTTTACACACATTATGACAACACTACTTAATTAAGACTTTCTCTAATACAACACAATAAGCTATGATGAAACATCTAAAAGGTTTATTGAAGTAATTAGAAAGCAGTTATGCCATTGGTTAGCACCAAAAGCGTGAAATAGATGAGTGAAATGGGATTATTGATCTTGTGAACCCGGAAAAAATAATTCTGGTCTGGAGCCTAGGTAAAAATAAAGTAAACAAATAATTAAAAAACCTGGGTGTGAAGCTGGTCAACTAATTAGGGATCCGTCTTGGATGTACGGTTCTAACCATCCCCCCAACCCTTAATCAAAAACAGTTGTTAGATATGTGACAATATCGTAATTTAATGTTTCAGAGAAAATTCTTATCAAGATAGTAAATTTAACTAGAAAAAAAAAGTTTATATCTCTCTAGCAAGGGGAACTCTCTGTTTATTGGAGAGGTTCCTCCACTATTAAATTAGTGCACCTAGGTAGGCCGGATCTGCGACGTTGCCACTTTTGTTTCGGTGCAACCTTGTATTAGCCATGCAGATATTATTCATATATCAGCTGTGGGACTATTTAGTCAACCACAACACTACAGTCATCTGTATGCAGATGCAGACAGCATGACGTCACTATTACATGCAGCTGGTCGTGGAACCGTGAATCTACCAGCTGAGGGCAAGGGCAAGGCATGGAAACTAGACTGCATTGTCTCCTTTGGAAATTATTATAACAGAGCCATACCATTGACTTTGTATTGTGCAAGTAAGACTTCTTGTCCTATTGTAGCCTCTGAAGAATCTATATGTGCGTTGCTTCTCTTTAATGTTTGGGCTGGATTTAATATAGGTTCTTTACATTCCAGTTATAATTTCGGTAAATAAGCATTGCTTTATTATTAGATGATTTTATGCAGTTGAAAGTTTTAAAATCGGTTATATCACGATAAAAAACAAATGACAACGTTTACTCTACATAAACTGGAATAAACTAACATTAAACTTGTCTTCGGCTCGTATGCATCAGCTGATCATAAGGTTCTAAGCTTATCATTAGAATGGTACACCTATAAGGGAGTATGTTTACTGTATGATCTTGCGCACCAAAAGAGGCATAAATTAACCTTGGGCATTCAATGTTTATGCAGTCCCTCTTTCATTTTGTAGACCATTCAAAGAGTTGTAGATGAAAGTGTGACAGATATCCGAGGTCACTCCAGTTTATGACAGTTTTACAGTAATAGATGCTAGACACGCAGGTCCTTGTGCAGATCTGAAGAACAAGATTATTTGCCTCTAATTTACTTTTAGTAAGGAAATGTCAATTAGTGGTTTGAGATAATTATTAATTTCCGATTAAAAGAATAGCTAATAGTATTCGAACAACGCTCTCTGTAAAAACAAATAACACAGAGTTAAAAATTGGGCTTGATAATGACGTAGTGTACCTGGTCGACATGTAGCACCTTTGAAAATACATTTGTCGTATTGTAAATTATTACAGTATAACTCTAAACATATTGATTAGTGTTCGAAAGACATATTTTTATATCTGTGTCTGAAGAAAATCAATTTAGTCGTGGTAGTGATTCAAAGGTTATCTTAAGAAATGTATCATCTGGTTTAAAGGGATTTTCCACATTAATGTTGTAATAAATAGAAGAATGATAGCTATACCAGATTACCACATGGGTGAAACACCCGACGACCATTATTTTTTCATTAGGAACCGGAAACCAGAAATAGGTTGATGATCGCTGTTGTTGGACAATGTTAAATGGAAAATCCCTATCATCCGGACTTTTATATTTGGCAAAAACTTATTGAGTCAAACAATTGACTTTGGTTACAGATGGTAGACTTGTGCCGTAAAAGCTGAAGTTTTGGACTGCATCTTGTTTGACAACGTCTAAATGTGTTAATACTTGACGTTTCTATTATAGTAAAAGTTTTACAATGTAAACTTTACATTTATGCATACTTTCATTGTTGCTGCGTTTTCAAAATTAAACCACATACACAAGCCATAACTTTTTCATTCAAAATGTCTCAGAACAAGTTGTTGATAAACTAAGAGCCTTATCCTTTTGGTCGTCCACATGGTTAGCAATGCCAACTAATTGTCAAAACTCTAACAAGCCAACCTAGTCATCGGACAGCCACAAGGCCCAATCTGTATACGATTCATCCAAAGGTCAGCTGGAGGAATGACGTAGTCCTTGACAGACGACCTACAGCTGATGATACCTGATGATCCGGCTTACATAACATCAAACGCCTTATGCTTTCACCAGTAGCCGCATCGTGGCAAGGTGAGGCAGGATGAGGAGGAATGTTGAGGATAAACCGAAGATAATCAACCGTAACTGATGAATTAAAGTTAAACGGATAAGTGTGCGGTTTTGTTTTGAGAAGAATTGGCTTGTTGGGATCTTTACATGCATGATTCTTCCATTTTTTGGTCTTTCGAGACAAGGAATTGGATCAGTTGATGACAATATAGGGATAATCTAAGAACCTACAACTAAAGCTACATATTCAGGTGACTGTGAATGTCCTAGAAATTAGACTTCATCAGATACTCTTTGGCTTAAGTATTAAATTTTCTTTTCAGAAACAGCTTTTTCCCAATATAATTGGGTCAATGCACAAACTGGATTAGTCAATCTCTTGAAGTACATGTGTGCCTTTTCCTGGATATCGTCGCCATGGGTAGTGAAGTTTAGTTTGATGTTTAGAATTTCTTTAAGGATATAGAGTGTAAGGATGATAAATTATATTTTGAATACAGAGTTACAGTAATTTTGGCATACTGTGGTACTCATTATTCTAGGTTTCGAGTCTATAGATTTATGACCAGATTGTTTTGAATACCACCCTGACATCCTAAACAAAGTGGTAATTCAAGAATGGTTATAGTTATCATCATATATATGCGTGACATTTGCAGTGTTTGATCTATACCAACTAATCCACAAAACAATCAAAACCATGTGTTTCCTAGAATGTTCTGCTTCTTAACGTCGCTGAGGTAAACGAATTCCGTTCAAGATTTACTATGATCACATTTATCACATTGATCCCATTATTTTGATTACTTCTGACTACATCCATCTGAATATTTAGCTAAGCCAACACAGTACTTTTCTACAACACAGTATTTTTCTACGTTGACATACGAAATTTTGGTATGGTGAACTGACGATCTAGCTCTTACAATACAACGTGCATGAGTAATGACTACAATGATGAAGAATGTCTTTGTTACAAACCACCAGTGTACACATTAGACACAAACCATCAGAAACTATATACTGTCGTGAAGAAGATATTAGTAGCCAGAGAACAAGAGAGAAAAGATCTACGAGGGACCAAAACAAGAGGAAGCAAGAAAGAAGCATGCACGAAAAATCTGATCAGAACCTTCGAAAGTGGCTTGTGCGTCGTCATAGACCTGTTGGATCTGCTCGGACTCCACGGTCTCTAGGGTGTCCCGGTCATCCGCCTCGTGGAGGATGTTAACGGAGTTGGAGGGCGGACTCAGGTGGGGGAAGAATCGCTTCTGGAGATACTGCGTCAGAATCATTTCTGTGATTTTGTTCTGACGAGCGATCTCACCTGAAAGAAACGATGAGGATTACTATGGGCTTTGAGCTTGAAGGACAAGAAGGTTTATGTGAATTCCATGCCTGAAGGAGTCTCTTCAATCGGATGATTCAGTTCACTTGAATGCTCAAGGAGAAGATGTTTATGATTTGAAACGTAGAACCTTTCTGGTGATGAAATCAAGATTCTTCATAGGGCAATAAGATACTGTACATTCTTTTTGACAGGAATTTATTGGAAATGAGCCAAACTGTGATTTGCGTGGCTCTAATTCCTCACAGGGGTCGGGAAGTATTCATAAAACATGAAGCATATGTATTTTAAAGTCCTGAATGTTGTCATAAGTACACAAAAGTAAAACAGCTGAATGACAAATATAATCTGGGATGCTAATACACTGGGGATTAGAGAAGAAACATCAGTCGGGAGAGTCGGGTTCACATACTGCCTATCACCAATGGTTTTGCTAACACACTGATCTAGAATTCCTACCATGAAAAAGAAAGTCCAATAGTCTATTTTTAACCCCACCTTGTGAGAGGGGTTGGAGGTTAAAAACTGTAAAAACCTTACAATCCTTCATCTCAAGATCTCAATTTACAATTGTAATTTTGGAGATAACATTTGAAGAACACATAAATCACCTACTCAAAACTCTATCGAAACGCTAATCTCTGTAAGGTCCATTATTCAATGACAGCTGATCAAAACAGTGACTTCATCAGCTGATCGATTTGACAGCTGACAAATGATAAATAGCCCAGCTGTTACGTCTGGATTAGACAAATTGGCAATCTTTATCAACTGTTTCCTAGCAGAAATATCAACGTTATTTCGAACCTTATAAAATTTGACTACATCCTTTAGAACATTCACCAGTGTCCGCCTTTACAGTTCTTGATGTTTTAATTCATCTGTTGGCCAGTGATTGGTTAAAGGCGTGCCATTGCAAGGCTAGAAGACAGAATGGATGGGCGAAGGGAATAAAGACACAAAAGGAAAAGTAAAGCTTGTGAAATATATTTATTGAATGAGTCAGAAGACATGAAACGTAATTCAAAGATGTGGATGGTTTAAATATTTTAATAAACCAAACTTTGAAATCTGCCAAAGTGAATTCAGCAATCCGACATGTTTTATGAAAGGAGGATACGGACACGATTATGACAGAGACAAGGATTATTGAAGTCCGCAACATAATGTTTCAGTCCGCTCACCGAAGCCACTCCTATAACCCTGGAGTACTTATCCTGGAATATAATGGGCAGGCACAGGACAATGTGGTCGTATATAAGTTCATTATGACTTCGTAGGTGATTTATTATGCTACTCTTGATCATTATGTATCCATGTTGTTATGCGGATAAGATCAAAAGAAGCGAAGTACTTTATTTGGTAAATTAGTAATTATCCTGAAACGACGCACCTTTTCAAAGTGGATGTTCAATTTGCACAGTAACTTTGTTTATGACAGAAATTTTCTATTCCATTTCCTAAGTAATACTCCTCTTAAATCACCACCTAATGATATTTTAACAGGTAAAATGATTTTTACCTTCTACACATTTTATGGAGAAAGTATTGGTTTCGTCAAAATTATCGAGGCTGGGTTGTTTGGGAGGAAATATCTAGGATGTATCTAAAGTCAATGGTGAATTAGCCAAACTTCGGCGATCCTAATTGGTTATTCAGTTTGTAGTAAATCATGCTAGACGTGTTTAATCCGATTGTTCTTCCCTTTTGTTCTGTAATTGTAACGTGCTAGTTTAGATGATCCGTAGACTATGTGCTACGACTCCTTTATTTTCCTTTAATTGTTATCTTGCAAATAGCAATGCAAAATAATAATAACAATGACGAAAGATAAACTCATAAGGCATATGTTAAATTTATATAACTTTAAATTCACGTAGAAAAAAACCTTTTGGTCCGATTTGTACCATTTCAGATTTACACCTTCCCATAGCTACGACTGTGCTAATTTTTAAGCGGATCGCTTCAGCCGTTCAGGAGGAGTATTTGTAAAACAAAAGCAGAGGCGTAGTATAAGAGCTTCGCTCAATCATAAGTTTGATCTATTAAAAATATGACAATAGCAAACTAATTTTATACAAAGGTAAAGTTGATATCGATTTGAAATGATGATAAAGAATTAGAGATTATTTTTGGGGTGGATTATAAATGCTTTAAATGAATCAAGCCTCTTGTGTGTCTTTTAATTGATTTCTATAAATACAAAATTCAACCTGATGTTGATAACCATCTGTTGGATTCGATTAACAGTACATAATCAAAACAGTACATTAACAATTTGTTTATTATGGAACTTTCCGAAGAATGTATAAAAACAAATAACAGAAATTGACATGATAATTCGCGTTTCCGTGAAACTACTACCTTGACAAACTCTTGAAATTTAAGAGTAACTTAGTCGCGGAAATCATACAAACGTATTGTGTAAATTTGATTTATTTTAGAACACACTTCAATTATCGGGTTCTTTCGAAAGTAGTAATATTTAAAAGACGGAACTAACATACTCCCAGATAATTCTCATCCTCATTCCATAACTAAATTTTGTGTTTTTGTAGTACAATAAGTAGTAACGTAAGGGTGTAATGATGTTTTCTGTTTTTGAGACGGTGGAATTTTTAACGTTTTTAGGGAACGGTCGAAACCCACACACACTGTAACACCAACTGTTATCAGAAAGTGATCAATTGATAACCTAATGAAAAATGGAACCTATGCGCAGAATTGAGCCCATTCGGAATCGAACCAGCAAACATCACGCTTGAAGGGAAAAGCTACATCCTTTCAGCTACCCAAACACTATTTTCTGTATAGTATCAGTGATGATAGTATTTCTTTTCTATTTACTGTATCCTAGTCAATACCACTGCTATGTATCCACTATATTCCCTGACCTTGCCAATTCTTCCCTCCAAAACGCACTGATTACGCGCCAATAAGGCTTCCCTGCAGGTGGAGGACGAGGTGACCAGCAGATGTTACTGGACGACCTTCACATGCAGAACAGCTGTTACCTCATCAGCTGATCCGGTTGATTGTTACCTCTCTGATAACCGTCCACTGTTGCGCAACTTGTACCGCTCATCCCGTTACATCCTTTGTTGTGATACGATGTGTATTTTTAGCACTGATATTTATGTTTAGTTTTTTCGGGTTAGACTAAAAGTAATTAGCAAGATAAGTTGTTTTCAAATGTTTGATATGTGCAATCTTTGATGGGCTTACGTTTCGGAGGAAAATCTATGGCATTCCTTGGGTCGCGTGGAGAATTCTAAGAGAAACACTGATTTTGATAATTTGTGAATATAAAACTTGATAAAACAACGATTGTTTTGTAAAAAACCTTGTACAAAGAAAATTGTATTATAGAAATTGGGGTTTGTTGAGTATATAGACACAAGTTTTTTTACCAAACATAATGGATTTTGTAGGTCTATTTAAATTCCAAGCAGCCCAAGATAATAGAATGCATAGGATAGATCCTATCTGAAACATACGATCAAAATTTGTCTGTTTAATTGTTATTATTATTCATTGTCAATTGAGATAGGGTGTGTATTTTAGGTGCGTAGGTGTGTGTTTTAACCCACGAGCGAACGGTGAGTGTAGAATGCAGTAAGATAATCTGTGTAGCTTTGTTACTGACAGATCAGCTGTTTCATTAGCCAGGATCATTAAAGCCCAATGATCAGGGACAGCTGGTCCAGTTTTGAACCATCAGCTAAGCTACTGACTTTTCTTAGGATCGAACCGGTGACTTTTGGATTGTTGGACGAGCACTATAACCAGCCATAATAATAAGCCAGTCTATAATAACTTTAAATAATACATAAAGTTTGATCAACTGAAATTCACTACGGCTGAATGTTCCTCATAACAATAGGGGGGAAATAATATGTTCACACTATAAAAGTGATGTCCACCAATTATTGAAATATTGCGTTGTCTTGTAAGCCATTTGAATTCTGGAACAAACAAAATAACCTTATACTAATCTAAATTCCTATGTTTCCTGTGTTCACTGATGTTAAATGTCTTATCACAGCTAAAAGCTATGATAAGCTGACTAATCGTGTTTAAAAGGAACCGGTTTACGAAAGTGAGGAAAGACATCAACTAAGTAGAAACACTTTTGTGTTGACACCATCTAGAAGAGTGACCAATAATAAGCTGTCAGAAGATCCACTAAATCCGGATGTAAACAATCTAATGGGATAACACTTTCATTCTAGAGTTTGAACATTTCCTCAAACGAATCTCATATTTTCTTATGACTTAAATTTGTGATAATTGGTGGATTAGATGAAACAAAAATACATGGCAAGAATAATGTATTCTTAATAATTTGTTATCTTTTTCCATTACAACAAATTTATTTCGTCGGCAAAGATATTTAGAACTGACTGTTAGCACCATTCCAAATTTTATAAAACCCTGTGCTGATCCAGCCATAAGCGCAAGAATACTATCATTGACTATACTGACGCCACCTGCCTAAAGTTGATTTTGTGTTTGACATTGATGACATTTTTAGTGATTTATGATTCATTCCAGACGTTTAAAATTTATGTTATGCCTTCCGTTATTGATTAATTTCAAACGACTGTACCTTCCACGCGAAAATCTTATAAATATGGCGACTTACAAAGATTCTTAGCAGAATTAGCAGAGCCTTTTCTATGGAAAACCATCTAATCTTTTTCACGGAGGGCGTTTTATCTTACCCTTTTTAGTATCGTAGGAAATCAAGACAAAATGAATGATTCAGGGATGGGATATTAAGTTCATATTACCTATGAGGTTGGGCTAGGTAAGTTAGGGTTAGGCTAGGCTAGGCTAAGTCTAGGACATTAAGATTTAATCCTCGTAGGGCTAAGTTAGGTTAGGTTAGGAAGGGATATGCTTGGTAAGGTTATGCTAGGTTGGACTTGGGTTAGTATTTAGGTAAGGAAAGTTCATGTTATGTCAGGTTACGCGAG